AGGGCTCGTTGCGTTTTTTTTCTTCGAAGGCCGACTCCTTGGCAAAGAAGCCCGGCAGCCTCTTGTCATTGGTACCGGACCCGAAGAAGGGTACCTGCAGATCGAGGTGCCCGAGGTAGCCATTTGGCTGTGGCTCAAACAAGTGGTACCAAAATGACACCTTGGGAAATGGATCCGAAGACTCCGAAGACTAAAACCTGCGTAACCGCAGCTCTTTAATCTTGAGCCAGAGCCATTTGGGGCGCCAGCGGTAAATCACGGAACATCTGTTGGTACCCCATTTTGGGTGGTTTTCAGGTGAAACTAACAGGAAAACCATCTTTGGGGGTCCCCTCGAAAAAAGGACACGCCCATTTGAGTAATTATTTTTTAAGCCCCCGCTAGTGCGTACCACAGCTACCTTGACATGTCTCTGGTTAGTTTCCTTTTGATGGCACCGGGGAAAAAACAAACATCCAAGCCATGTCCATGGCTCTGATTCAAAATTGGCATATGGGAGAACCGTCTCTAAATCAGTGAACTTATGTTGGGATTCCCTGATGGCAAAATGTTAAGCGGAAACACATGACAACCAATATGGTCCTTGAGGGTACCAAAAAAACACAGCTCCTCGAAAAAACACAAGAAACTCTGGAGCATGCAGCAGCCTCCTTTCGGTTGCCTGTTGAATCCGCAACCCGCGGCTACCCTCAAAACACAAGAAATGGAGTTGACTGGCTTTCAAGCGAAACCCAAAGGGACACAAAGTTCCCTATGCTTCCCCTTTACACATTGCCCCACCCAAACGAAACTCGCCTTATTCTGGCCCAAAAGGAAATATTTAAAACCACCCTACAAGGGGAAATGTAAGGACCCAAAACAGCCTCAAAAAGCTGTTAAAACGGTACCCTCAAAAAACAAAAAGGTGTTGAGCAGCTGCCGCTTTCAAAGGACCCCTAACAAACACCACCTGCAGCTCCCACCTCCTTCAGCACCTCCCCCACCGGAGCCATCCGCGTGTGCCCGTCCACCCCAAGGTCTGCCGCCGCCAAGCAGACGGCGGGAGCCGCCGCCCAGAGGAGGTCCAGGACGCGAAACTTCCCGACCAGCGACTCGTAGGTGGGGTGCCTCGTTGCGCAGAAGGGCCCAAATCATGCGTTAGCATAGGAGAATGATGTGCGTTCAGCCCCCAAAACATGTTGCTCTGCCCCCAATGAGCTGGATGTCATTGGATGCCTGAGAACTTAGACCTTGGCTTGCCGGGAAATGACATTTCATGCCTGACTTTGTCAAGGTGATCATGTTCAAATATGGGGCAGGTAGAAAACCACACATATGATGGATATATAAGTCTCCTTACTTCTAGGGTGAACGTAGTGCCCCCTCCTTTTCATTTGGAGGTACGCAAAGGGCAAACAAATGGACCCAAACGCCGGTGACCTAAGGGAAACCCATCCTGCCAGTTTTAGGGTTCTCTTTTTTGGGGAGAAAAAGCGTGTGGGGGCCCCCAGAACGGGCAGCTTGCGCTGTTGTTTTGCCCCCACCGTAAGTTTGAACAGAACCAAAGAAGAACATCCTGCAAATGCGCAAAGCACGAAAAGCAGCTCGCAAGATGAACTGCATTTGTTCGACAATGCTCCGAGCCCAAAAAACTTGCGAAAGAACTCACGAGCCAATCAGGTCCTACTTTATCCTTGCTTACAGAGAACCAGACCGAAGCGCCCATTTTGCGGGATCCAATCCATGCTGAGACGAAAGGTACGGCTCTTTGTCCGGCACGGCTTTGGGCCCAGAATTGTACAGCACCCTCTCCAGGTACGCCTCGTCCTCCCGCTGCAAGCTCTTGCGTATCCTGGGCGGTCATTAGGTCGAGGAAGAAAAGATACTTTGAACATCCATCCCTTGTTGGTTCCCTTGGAAACTGAAACATAGGGGTATGGGTTTCCCTTTAAGGACCAACCCGAAAAAGGGTTCCTCAAGAAAAGGCACGCCATTGGAACAGTCCACAAAACACGCCAATCACACATCTCCTTTTGGTTTGCTTAAATTAGACTCCGCCCATTGGCCAGGGGGACACCTGGAGCCCCGAGGCATCTGGCCAAACGATCATCCCAAAACCACCTCAAGGCGCTCGGCTCGTGTCCACCGGGTTCCCTGAATTGCCCCCTTAGACGCCACCCCATTTGAAGGAAGCTCAAAAGGAGATGTTCAAAGCCACCAAACCCATTTGAGGAAATCTAGGGGAGCCGTATTTAAGCGGACGTGTGAAGTGGGAGGACCCACGTTTGGTGGGTTTACCTCTTGATTCCCTTTAAACCAACGCAAAAGAAGATGCCGAGTAAAACTAAAACGCACCCTTTTCAGTAAGTTGCCCTGCTTTTTGCAGAGCGACCTGTTGGGGCTGTTGTAGGCGTCAGAGAACAGCTCCGCCGCCCGGTTTTCTCTGAAGGCGCGGGAGACGACGGCACGGATGCGGGCCGTCTCGCGGTCGCCCCAGTCTTGCAAGAACCCGAGCTCGCTGGCGAAGGGCACACCTCAGCTGCCTCGACTACTGACTGAACCTGGAAATACAAGAGAAGCCAAAATCTTCCGAGACCTGAACCAAAAATGGACCAGAGAACCTTGAGCAAAGCGGCCCATGTTGCCTTCCAATGGAGATCCAGACCTTTGAATGGAAGGGCATGATAAAGCCAAAAGGCCGATTCGCTGTTGCAAGTAAGACACAGATTCCAAGCGTCCGCCAAACCGAAAAGTTCAGCACCAGCAGCCGCTTGAGCCTCTGCCGCTCTTCCTCGGTCTCACACAAGCGCCACCTCGCTTCCGCGGCACAGAGCTTGTGCAAACCTGAGTTCGTTGATCCCTTGCTGAAGGAAACGCTTAAGCCCCTACAAAAACCCCTATAACATATTCAGTAAATCGCTGGACACTCCCCCACATCTCCAACTTTCAGCGGGGTAGCTTGCTTATGGCATCATAAACTTTCGGTAGCCCCACATATTGCTTGGAATAGTGGAATAAGAACACACACACACACACCCATTGACCTACATCCCCAACTCTCGGAACAGTGCTGGCACCCGAGAAGCCCATGGTGGTGCGGTCGTGCCAGCGGTGGACGTTGGGGCAGCTGTGGCGCTTGAAGTACTCCGCGAAGGGCACGTCGAGGCCCTGCGACTTAGCCCCCTGTTTAAACCGTGCAGCTCTTAGCGCATGAAAGGGCCCCAGATTCTATACAGGCCTAGAGAATTCAAGTGGGGTTGGTACCAACACCTAGGTCCCAACCAGTGATGTTTGGACAGGGGAGTTTGGACATGGGGAAAAAATATTTGGGGGGTACTGGTACTTTAAAACAACACTTAGTCATGATAGGGGTGCACTATTGGCTGGCCACAAACATAGGGATGGATTTTGGGGTATGCTTTTGTTGGCCCTTAGAATTCGTCATTATTCTGCCCCTGAAAGAAGACAGACGTGGCTTTTTGTCACCCCATGCCTCGTAGAGCGGCGGCCCCTCGAGCCCTTTCTCCCGCCTGATGCGCACCGTCTCACGGGCGTTCATCAGGCCGAAAAGAAGCTGCACGCGGTCCTCGCGGATGGTTCTACGGGTCCAAGACATAAACCAGGTAGAATGGAGGTCAAGGAGGTCGGGGGCGGAAAAACGGGGTCCCCCTTTCGCATGTGACACCGCGTCGTTCATTTGCATTTCCCTTTCCGGGCTGGTCCACGGGTTGGGCTTCCCTGAAGAACTCTTAGGCAACCCCAAGCCTGAGGGTCTCAACCCCCCACCCCCTTTGTACCTTTTGTACCCCCCTCTCTAAGGGGATTCCAACTCTCGGGGAGTACACTCCCCAAATGCTAGGGAAGCCCCAAGGATTTTGACGGGTCTCAACTGCCCGTCCGACCCTTGGTTGTGCCTATCCCCAACTGTCCTCGTTCTGCTGGAAGGCATGGCCCTTCCTCTTCTTCTCCACGCCAGCCCAGAGCTCCGCAGCCGGGCGCTTCAGGCTCACCATAGCTCCGCTGCAAATCACCCGCGAGCCACGCGCCGCGGCTGGAGTGCTTGCCCGATCGCCCAAATGGGTACGTCACTTTTTGTTGGTTGCCCCCCTCCCCCCAAAAAAAAATGTTGGGGATCCTGTTATCTTCCCTTTAAAACCACCAAAAAAAGACCGCCGAGGGGAACAAACAAAACAAAAAACGCAGACCCAAATTTGTGGGATGGACATTTTGTAAATGGCACAAAAGACATGACTATGGAAGTATACTATTGGCAATCGTTTGTCTCCTTCTGTTTGTGGCAGTTTCTCAATAGGGGATTGCCCCTTGGTATTCAAAAGGGAAACCAAAAAGACAACCAATGTGGGGCATCGATTCTTTGAAGAACCTGAAACGGTCGGGCCAGGGCTCCCAAACTATTTCTCCCACCCCAGGAAACTCAACAAGTGGCGAGCAAAAGGCTTTGCTTAAAACGGGCTAACAAGGGAAAGGTAACGATCCCTGAAGATATTCCGTACAGCCACAACCAAAACAATACTCTCTTACCAAGAGGGCGTGTCCTTCTTTTCGGAGGCCCCTGTTGTTTGAGGGAAAGTTGCTGTATTTGAACATGGGGTGGTCTCAAAATAGGGCAACCCCCCTCCTCTCATATGTTGGTTCCCTTTTTTTTTAAAAAAAAAAAAAATCAATCAACACGAGTTTCCCAAAACAAAAGACACACCCGCACGTCTGAAAATGGGGAAACCCCAAAACTGGGGTTCTGAGCCGAGTGTCCCACTAGAGCTTGCTAATGGAGGTGACAGGGGTCCGAGAAGGCGGGGATTGAAGGGAAAAAAACAAGCCTGCCCACGGGGTATCAAACAAATCGGAAAGCCAACATGCCCCTGCCAGACAAAGCAAGAATTGGGTGTGTGTCTGGTTGTTGCCCCCCCCCCCCGTGTGGTAAAATGCTAAGGGGAGATGAAAAGGAAAATGGGCCCCCCCGGCAAAAAGATTCACATGCGAGTGGATCCCAGGCCCCGGGCCAGCGGGGGCTCGGAGCTTTGGAGATGGCCTTGGCCAAAAATCGGGAGGAGTGGGGCTTGGCGGGGGGGCGGGGGTGGGGCTTGGCGGGGGGGTTGGGGGTTGGGGGTTGGGGGTTGGGGGGCGGAACTTGGGCTTGGAAAAGGCTTGGGGTGAGCTTCCCTCCACTTGGTGGAGCCCGTTCGGGGAGTGGTTTCCCACTCAAGGGGCTCACTCTGCAAAAGCCAGGGGTTCAAATCACCAACCCAAACCACCGATTTAGGGTACCCTCCAAAAACCGAAAAAGACATCTCCCCATCCGATTAACCCTATGAGTCGGCCCTTCGAATAAAACTACGCCCCACTGAGTCTTGCAAGGTCCCGCCGAGTCGCTCTTTGTAGTCCACCGTTTTTTGGAATCGGAACCTCACCCCTAAATGAAGTCCAACAAAGGGTCCCCTATCAAAATTCGCAAGTGGGTTGCCATTAATTTACTCAACCTGTCGAAATGCCCCTTCAAGCACCTTTTGGAGGGATGCTGAGGTCCCATCTAGGCTGCCTTCGAATCAGAGTCCAGGATCTCTCCTGCAACGACGGCCACACGCGTCTCGTTGAGACTGCTGAATGTAAACCCCCCTCAAAAAATGAACGGAGGTCACGGCTCAGCCACAATCAAAATCTAGCACAAATGGAGGCTAGCCAACTCTCAAGACTCCAAAGTGCCCGAAATTTGTCTGCCCCACCATGTGCTTCTGGCAGAATTAGTTTTTGGGTCCCCCCCCCTCCTATCCAAATCGGCTTGGCTCACGACACGACTCCCGCCTGCGCCCCCCTGGCGACGATCCGTGTGGAATGCCACGCCTCGTGGACCGCCTCACACTGAGAAGCAGGTGGGGACCTCCATAAATCCGTGGGGGTCCTTTCTTTAAGGGGTCCCCCCAACCAAGATGGTGATTTACCTGTTGCGTTCCCTTTGCCCCCCAAAAATGGTGGTGTTCCTTTTGCGGTCCTTTAAACAAAAGAAAGGCACCACCAAGAAAAAGACAGACCCGAAGGGAGAAATCGATTCATCCCAAACCTCTGCTGATGAAAGTCGTGGCGGTCTCCAAGGGCGTAACACGCCTGGCAATTGCCCAGCCTTCGCATGCCTCCGACGCGCCCCGGAGTTCATTATGAAGGGCTCCTGGGCTCTCGCTTTCAGGAACACGTCTAAGAAGTTAGTCCAAGTGTCCAAACTCCTTTCAAGTCTGGGAGGTCTCTTTTCTAGGGGCGGTTCCTTTGGTTTCCCTTTTAACCCCTTTAACCACAAAGACAAGGGTGCCAACCCCAAACAAAAGCATCCCAGCGCCCGAACTCGCTCAGCGCCCAGCTCCCACCACCGACCTGCACGCTCCACATAAGCCGACAGGGTGGGTAGGTTCCTGAAGGGATCCGCCCCTGTGGCAACGGTCCTTTTGGTTCCTTCCCTCTTTACATATACTAAAGGCGGCCCGAATCCTTGAGAATCCACGAGAAACTCCCGGATGAGTGCTGGCCGCCGTTCTGTGTGGGCTTGTCTCAAATTGCACCTGATCACGCTTCAAAAGCTACTCGTGCTGAGGATTGGTCTGATAGAACCTTGTCATTGTTGTTAAAGGTTGTTACCCAAGGGTGGGATTCCTCGTAGAAAAGCCCCCCAGTTCCACCGAGACGGGTGTTGGGTGTGCGTGAGGCCACCGTGACAACAACCTGTTGCAGACGTTGGCACTTTTAGCAGACACACAAACAAACGCACCAACCTGTCTAGACGCATCTTCCTTGCCGTATCGGTGTCCCTTGCTTTGCCTTCGAATGAGTGAGTTCAAACCAAAAAGAACCGGGTTCCAATAGGTCCTTTTGTTTACCCTGAGATGGACTAAAACCTTGGGTGATCAAAACAACTGACAAAAGGAGACGCCAAGTTAAGGACACCACAAAGGGGCTCGCATCAACCTGACGCGTTGCTTCTCCGGCCTGGGAGATTCCTGCAACATGACGCTCACCTAGCGTGGCAAAGGAAGTCACTGCATCTTTGAGTGACCAAAGCCTCCCATCTGAAAGCAGCCAGGGAAGGAGACGCTTCTTGGGGAGTCACAATCAAGACGTAGTACTAAAGTGGTCTACCCAAAGCCACGTGCCGTGGTCAAAACTCATTCTACACCTAAGTCATGGTCATCCCATGCTACAAACCCTTATGATGGTCTAAAATCCCCACTGAAGGGTCCCATGACTATCCCCACACGTAGTGAGGGCTTTTGACCATGGCACATGTAAACACGTCTTTTGGGAGAGAGCTGCAGTCATTTCTGGCTGGGACGTCCGGCACTAACCTTCGACTGCCCGGGCTAAAGTACGCCATGACTGCGCCACGCACAAGTTCCATTTCAAATGAAAAAGAAAAATCACCAGTCAAGGTTAACACAAACAGAATCACTTGAAATAAATAAAGGAAACACAAAAACCGCGCCAGAGGGCTTCGCAAAGCTGAGGCATCAGTCCCGAACCGCACCAGCCTCCAAGTCGCGAAACACTCCGAAGAGGCAGCGGGGCCTCAAGCAAAAGGGTAAGATGACTGGGAGGTGCTGGACGATGTTCCCTAAAAGCAGCCCTTTGCTGGGTTCTATGTTGGTTGATAGGAGGGTAAACGAGTTGGGAGTGGTTAGGAACTTTCACTGTTCAAAAGCTTCCTATTCAGCCACACCCAAGATAAGCCTAGCCAAATGCACCCTATGCATTCTGCTCATGCGGGTGGAATTAGGAAGCCCTCTATATGTACGACAGGGCATGCACATGTAAGATAGAAAACTCGCTCTAACGCCAACCCCGAATCCACCCTAAGCCACGACTAACCCTAAACCCACCCTAAACAACCTAAACCAACCCTAAGCCAAGAATAAATCAGGAATAATCCACGAGGTCCGCCAAAACGCGAGGGACTTTCCCGCAGCCATCGGTCGACGCAGGGCCCCAGCACAGGCAAGATTGCGAGGGCCGCCTTTGCCTGCAAAGGCCTCAGAGTGGCGTTCCTTTGGGTTTCCCTTTAACAACGGCCCAAAAAAGGGTACCTTCAAAGAATAGCGAACTAAGAGTGACTAGTGAACTATAGACTGTGGCTCCTGGGCAACATTTTGGGTTTTGAAATTTGGGTTAGAATCGTAGGGAGGCGAGCGCCGGCTGCATCATTTAGAGCACTCTCCATCCCCTGCATGTGTTGGGTGATGCTGGTTATGCTGGAGATGCTGGCTGGATGCTGGCTGGTGATTCCAGGGATGCTGGTTGGCATCAGCGTTCTGTTGCTTGTGCATGCAAGTCTGTATCTTTTTTTGCACGTGCTTTGCTTGTGCTTCACATCATGTTTAAGTGGTGACTGATGTATAAAGTTGTTTTTTTTTTTTTTTGGGGGGGGGGGGGACATTCCTGTGTAGAAGCGTATTTGAAATAGAAGAATAGCTAATGTCTTAATCTAAATTGTTTTGTTTCTTCTCAGTTAGACTTTGAGTAGAACTTGATAAGCATATCAAGTAGTGTTTGGGAACGAAATAATTCAAGGGTCCAAAAATTGTGGTCGTACCTGGCCCCAATGGACAGAAAACATCGTAAAGCACTTTGCGTGTAGCGATGTTTAGACTAAACTCACATCTTCCCCAACGGCCGCTCAAAAAACATATATCAAAGGCGTACCAGTCATACCGTTTCAAGGTCTCTTTGGAAACTGTTTTTAGGCACAACAAACCAGAGAAAACCACAAGAAGCTATGCAATCCCCACGAAAAGCTACATAATACTCAATAAACCTGCCCCCCCCCCAAAACAAAACGCACAGTGCCAGCCCTGCAAGGCCCTCACAGCAGCAGCTGTTCCACTCATATCGGAAAAGTCTTTGCAGCATTTTTATCCTCATTCCAACTTGTCCGCAACCGTTGCCCAACTCTTTTTGACGCGTTTCCCAACTTGTCCCAACCTTTTCCCAACCTGTGTCCCAACCTTTTCCCAACTTTTTCCCCGACCTTTTTTCTCAATCTTTTCCCAACCTTTGTCCCAACCTTTGTCCCAACCTTTTCCCAACTTTTTCCCGGACTTTCTTCCCAACCTTTTCCCAACCCCAACCTTTTCCCAACCTTAATCAAAAGAGCAAGAAACCCCAAACGCGCGCCGAAGGCTGCGCCCTGAACAAAAAGAGGTGGATTGACCGTGGTTAATCCCTCAGCGGTTCAGGGGGTGGTTCCTAGACTCTCGTTCCGCACTCAGCGCTGTTTTCTTGATGTGCGCTTGAGCCAAACGGCGTTTGCCGTTCGACAAGTCTGTCATGACATGCAACCCTCAACCTAAACCAAAGTGGCCTCAAGCAAACCTCACATCAGTGACCACACAACTAGGCAAGTTACCATGCCTTTGGGGGCTAAGGGGTCGTTATTTCTTGACTCCCCCCTCGCCGTGTGCACTAAGGCAGGGTAAGCTTTTGTTTTGGAGCGCGATACGCTGCTCCCGGACATCAAGGCTTTACAAGGATGAAGGATATTTTGGCACTCTTAGTACTCACAGCACTACCTTCGGGATGACTTTCTACTTTTTGATGTTGAATCGAGTATCTTCTAGCTCTTCTGGGAGATCTGTGCGCATTCCCAGGAGCCTCAAGGCGTGATCCCACTTATGCGGAGGCAAAGCCTTGGTAAAGATATCGGCAGCTTGGAAATCGGTCTTCACATATTCAAGCTCTACTCCAGTGCCTTCCTGTAACTGTTCTGCAAGGGATGCTAGGTTAACCCTATGTGTCCTAGAAATTGCACGCAACTTCGAGGAGTGCCCTTTCCTTGCAACCAGAATAGTAGCTTGATTGTCTTCATGGATCCTTAGGGTCATTGGGCGACCCAATAGTCGATCCCACAGACTAAGTGTCGGGAGTCCCTCCTGATACAAAGAAAATGCTAACGACACAATCTCTGCTTCTGTAGTGGAACGCGACACAGAAGTCTGGCGCTTGCTAATCCATGCTAAGGGGAAGTGGGAATTCGGGCCTTTCAGGGCGAGAAACCCCCCTGACGTGGACTTGGCCCCCTCTTCTCCTGCAAAGTCAGCGTCGACGTAGAGCGCAAGATGCAGCTCTCTGGGATCGTCTTGAACTGTGCCAACCAACCTGTGCGTTGTGGTCGTGTTAATGTAAGCTATTAGCCTAGCCAACTGCCTATCATTATTACGCGACCATTTTTGAACGCACGTTGCAAGATCCCCGATGGGCTTGATTATGTCTGGACGTGCAAGACGTCCCAACCACAAGGCCTTCATCAAGATTTTACAAGCGGCTGAGCTCAATTCACCTGCTTCGGCATCATCTTGTGTTGGCAATGACCCTTCTGGACAGAATGGGGTCAATGCCTTGCGGAGCTTACTAATCGGCTGACCTGAAATGGAGACATACAAATCTACAGTTTGTTTGGCATAGTCAACCATATCAAAAGCCATTGCGTTGGACAGCGCGCCAAAGGCTGCGCTCTCGGCTGGATTAGGCTCGCACTTCGGGGCGTTAATGATGACATGATTCCTTCCCAAAACACGATATATCGGTTCTGGGGGTTCAATGTCAACACATGACATCAGCTTTTCCCAAAAGGGGTCATGCTGCTCTGCCGGCCCTGAAAGTGTTAGATCATCCACATAAGTGGATAGCATTAAGCCGGTTGAGGGGAAGTAAAAGTTTCCTGGAAATTCTTGGATCTCCTCTCCGGTCTGCTCCTTCAAGATCTTCTTGAAGTGCTGCTCCCATAGCCCCCCCGCGTCGGGGTGACCGTAGAGTGCTTTTACTAGAAGGACTACCGGTTTTATAAACTTTTCTTTCCACCACTTCGGACGAAGTTCCGGCGGCAACGATATCCACGTCTGATGTTGAGATCGAAGTAGGGCCTGGATATATGCCTTTACGGCGTCTGCCGCCGTGGTTTTGTGACCTGGCAGTGAGCCGTAGGCAAGGCAATTGTTCAAACCCTGAACGGACGTAGGGTTGGCGCCGAGTTCTTGATAAACGGCCGCCGCCCCATATTCGTCCCGCGCACAGTCCCCTCGGTATACTATACGCCCCTTCATTTTCTGTAGATGCTTTGCTAGCTCAAAGAATTTGATGGAGGCGATGGTCATTAGTTGCCCGAAGTGGACTTTAGTGTGCGTCCGTCGCGCTTCAGCAGCGACCTCTCCTTGCTCTCTCACGGTGCTGAGATCCCAGACTCCCGCATTACTTAAGCCGTCTGCTTCTTCCTTTACGGCCTGCAATGCCTCGGACGAGGCAAGCATCTCTGAACGTGAAAGAAGTTTTGTGACCATGGCGGCTATGTCGGGAGAAGTCTCCTGCTTTGTAATTCCCTGAATTTCCCTAACGAGGTTATCCAAGTCAAAGAGTTCTTCAAAGAATCTGCGGGATGTTGGATCTGATTCAACCACTGACGCGAGAGCCCCAACACCCGAAAGTGCGGAGGTATGCTTCAAGGACTGCTCCTTTTCCCGATGCTCCTCTTGCACGGTGACAGCCTGGACTGGCATTGCAGGCGCGCATGGTGCTGCGACATGCGGGTATAACGCACTAGCGATTATCTTACACATCTCTTGTGGATAAAAGGCGGTGCGTGCAGTGTTGCTACCTGCGGCCTGTGCGTGCTTGAAGGAGTGCTGGTGGGGGCATGTCCTATTCTGGAACCCATCATGAAGTTCCTTGGATGTGGTCATGAGACGCCACGGCTTCTTGATGGGAGTCCCTTCCTTGTCAGTCAGACCTACTGCACACCCGTGGAAAGTCACTGAGTGGAAGCGAGACGCATGCGCCTTTACGTCGGGGCGCTCCCATCCCTCGCAGTCGCGAGGCCACTCGAAAGTGACGTGACCCTCTTGTTCTATCACTACTTCGGCGTGCTTTGTGAACCTTGCGAACAACGCCTCCGATCTTTTAACCTGTGCACGGAGATACTGCTTGTATTTGTTGCCATACTTATGGACATTTAGCCTTTGCCATGGCGACCCGGAGGTGCACGGAATGGCTGCCCACATGTTAGGCTTGCTACAAGACTGCAACTGAGCGGTCACATCCGCTTCATTGGTTTCAAGATCGATGCGTTCTTTAGCCAGTCTCACGTGGGGAATGCCTAATGCTTGATGCACTGCTCCCATGGTGGAGTCACTTGAACATGCATACTCGAACATTACAGGCATAGAATTTCCCCGCGCGATACGCTTGCGGGCCCTCTTATTCCCTACGGAAAACTTTTTGCATGGCTCCCTTTTGGAACATGGCATGCCGAACACAGGCAGAGTCCGAGCCTCCCTCTTGGTGAAGGAGTCGGCTACGTGGCACGTGAGTGACGTGGAGGTTGCAGTGGTTGTTGTTACCGCCGCGCCAGTTGTGGCTGCAGGCGGCGCGGTTGGCGGAATCCCCCCTGGCCGAGACGGAGCTGGCTTGCCGCGAAGAGCATCATCATGTTCTTCGGATGCCCTCAGTGCTTTCTCGAGCTCATCGGGATCAGATAGATCTGCCTTTTCAAGGCGGGAAAGCTCAAGTGCCTTTTTAAGGTCAGCATCGTCTTCTTCGAGACGTGCCTCCTTGGCTGCATGAACTGGGTCAATCGCTTCGGAGGGGCGAAGTGACCGCTCTGCCTCGACGGCAGCCGAGCGCTTGGAGCGCTCCTCGGCTTTCTCCGTATCGACCAGCCTCGCAAAGCGACGTCGACATTCGGGGGTATGGTACCGGGTGCGCCCGGTACAACCTCGACAACCTGGTGTTTCACGGAACCGGATTATCCGATCCACAGTGATGTACACGCCTCGCGGCGTGCCTGGAGCGGGAGTCGGCGGTGCAGCTACCTCGCTAAACGGAACCTCTTTAAGAGCGACTTCTGGGAGTTCACCCTCGGCTTCCCCCGTCCGCAGCGCCTTGTGGGCTGCTGCCGCAACGGGGAAACAAGGCTCGCCTTCTTCAACGAAGAGCTCTGCTTCCGGGACATCATGCACTACAATCGCTCGACGAGTCCTAAATT